CTTCATGTTTAGTTTGCAAAAATCATGCAGTCTTTAAGCAGTGTTACCAGCAGTGTCGCAAGCGATGGGAAAACATCACCTGAGCAGTGTTTTAGGCTTCTGGAAAGGCCTAAAATTAATCGGCACCTAGTTAACAAAATGGTTCTGCCATTCATTGGAACATACATTGGACATACATAAAATATTTGAATCGAAAAACTCGAAAAAATAAGCCTAATTCAGCTCTTTAGCAGAACAATGCACCACTGCCCCATAACACAGCCTAAAGACAGACAGACCTACCAAGGAGGGGGTGAAGCCAACGGCTTAAGCACGTCCTTTTTGTAACAGCAACCTAAAACCGAAAGATTCGCAAACGAGCTGATCCCGAAGGGTGGCTGGGGAGGCCACTGCCACCTTCACTGACATTCTTCCCCCACGGCAGTGCGGCCTCCTGAGCCTCTGGCACCGCTCCTTGGCAAAGTGAGCTCCAGGCCCATGATGTTGCTGGGCACGCTGCAACCCGGCTGGAGAGCTGCTAAAGGGATATTCCCACCACAACCAGCGGCCTGGGCTTAGAGATACAGACTGTCAGCATTCAAACAGCAGCATTAAAAAAAATAAAATATGTATATACATTAAAAATTTGAGATATTTATTTGTTTGGCTAGGACTGTAACACGGAGAGATAAAATAGCTTCATGTTGAGAACCAACGGTGAGACAGAATTAAATCCAACATTTCCCATCAACTTGATATTCTGTTGCAACAGCTAGCTTTTGTTTACAGTTAATTTTTCATATGCAAGATGAACTAGCCAGTGACGTAACTAATCATTACATTGATACACTTTTCTCATAGCTAGTTTGTAACATCGACTCATAAGTTACCCAAAGAAGGGGCTCGGTTTCGGTGAGCGTGAAGACCAAGTGTGATTATGGATATTCTGTTGTCAAACACTAAAGAAATAAAATAATTGTAGAAACAATATAAATGCTATTTTTAAAGATCTTCATAAACTGCAACAGTGAAAGGTGGCTCAATAAAGCAAAACACTCCAAACTTCTCAGCAGAAGCAGCACAAAGATAAATCTAGCACAATACTTCATGCGTTACCAAGTACAATTATAAAATCTTCAGCAGAAACGAGGGGAAAATATCTTACTAGAAGAAAGTAAGCAAAAACTTTTAAAAGACAGCATTGTGCTTTTCACTACTACAGTTTTCTTTCCCATTAAAAACAGTATTTTATAGGCAAAATTCACTTAGTCATTCCAGAAAATAAGGAAGCACATAGAATTTGGCGAAGAAAAAATTATTTTTTTGGTAGCCCTTTTGCTGCCACTACACAGTATTTTTTTTAACTTTTCCTCAGGCTGAAGACACGAGGTTCCAAAAAGAGTTAGGCAGTTGATCTTGTCTTAGCCTCTGGTACACAACCAGCGTTAAGTATTCAAGAGAAATGTAATGGCACAACAATCCACCTGCACAAAGGAGCTTTTTTTTTAATATATATATATATGTGTGTGTGTGTGTGTGTGTATTTGTTTTGCTTACCTATTAGGTATATCTCTTCACTTGAACTTTTTTATTTAATATTCTACATACGTTTTCTTCTCATGGTTACTTTTTTTTTTTTTAAAGGAACCTACAGTTTCAACAACTCCCTCAATGAATCTGTACACGGAGGGACTTCATTCTTACTCATATTATCAACAATGAATTTATTTCTTTTTTTGGTAGATTTCCTTAGTTAGTGCCTGGCCACCTATCTACTAGGTATTTCATAAATTATAAAGATCTTCAGGCACATGAAAGCGGGATAGATACTCCAGATGCCAGCTTTTAAAGTCTCATTCTTTAATCAGACTATCATATGGGAACACGAGACTTCCTATGATGACAGAATGGAAATCAGAAGTGACAGACTGGGTGACTGGAATTTATATTGGACTTTTTAAATCCATTAAAATGTCCAGCCTTATAACTTTGGAAGAGAATTTAGCACCAGCTGGAATCCTCAGACAGCATTAGTAAAAACAGTAACAAACCTCCCTCAAATAAAATTTTGAATCATGAGTTTAGAAAACACTTAAAAAATGAAACACACCTACTTAATCTAAAAATTCACATGACCGACCATCAGGTTAAATCCTGTCATCTGCAAAACACGAAGAAACGCAGTATTTATCTCTGCTGAGGATGTTTGAGAAATTCCAGATGAACAGGTTGAAATGTGACTTCACAGCGAATGAAATTCAGAGTCCAGATAAGCAAATGTGGTTTTGCACCAACAACCCGAAGCCAGTGTTTAAGAAACCAACTGAAAAAAAAAAAAAGGGCAAAGAACCTTAGGAACCTACAATTTCTTTGCGGGGTATTGGTTTTTTACTATATTCTCCCTCGAGAGCCTGAGGAAAAAGGGAATCTTCAGTTCCATGTGACAACTCCACAAGCTCAACACCAAGGTGTAGAGAAGTATTGCTAACTCTGCCCTTTAGGGTGAGAAGCCGGTGGGCTGGTGGTGAGTAAACCTTGTTCTGCAGGCTCTGAAGTGCAGCTCCCTTTGCGACCTGCCCTTTGCAGGCAACAAAGCTTCAAGCTGCTGCACATCAACTCCATTTGCTGAGGTTGTACAAGCAGAGTTCAACCAAGGCACTGCTGGTACTAATGAACTAGCTGTGTATGTCCACATATTTGGAGATGCCAACAGTGCATCCACCACCCCAGGCTGTGTTTAAGACAATACTCATTCAACTTCAAGCATTTTCCAGAACTTTTCTTGAATTTCAGGAGGTGCCATCAAAACTTGTGACTAGGAATGCCACACAAAAACAGAAGCAGTACGTGGCTAGCTCTGGAGCACAGATATAAAACTACTTTACTGGTATGAAAGCAGACCCAGGAGTTGCGAGAAATGAGATATTTCATCGTTTCTGCTAAGCAGGAAACAACAACAAAGTAACAACGCCACAAAATTAATCCGAGTTGTGTTTGTAAGAAGAGACAGAGATAACACAACCTTACAGAGCAACAGTCAGCCAAAAAGAGCCTTCCGAAATAAAAAGCAACTTTTCAAAAGAAGGCAGCAGACACCTTCCTGTAGACGTGGAGCATTACATGCCAAGAACATTGCTTGTTTTTCCATATCTATCAGGGCTAATTGTCAGCTTAGCTGGAGGAACGTTTCAAGTCATATTTCAACCTGCTTTCAGGGTTGTGTGATGCTAGAAACTGGTAGATAAAGGTTTAAGATAGCAAGTAAGTAGCTTTGAGGTTTGGCTTTAAAATAGTTCACTCGAGTCCTAACCCAAAAGAACTTCCACAGAGAACACAGCATAACATCAGGGAACTAACGCCAAGGCTGGGTTTGATATACATAATACTACTTTATTCCATTGTTTCAACTTTCTTACAGGTTTAAAAAACGTACAGGGGTTCAGAACCACCTCAGCAGAACAAGGAATACATAATTAAGGGAGATCTAGAGTTGAACCACAAGTGTGCAAGCGTGGTTAGCTTCCATTACAAAAGTAGTAGGCACAGTCTTTACATATGCATTTTGGTGAAAGAAGTAATAGTGCAGTGCTAAAAGGCACCAATAATCAACAATTGGTCCTTTTTTAAAAGCCAATAACCATCTAAGAAAATTACATTTGGTTCAAAATAATTTAAATATGTCATTGATCGGCATGCATCTGAACCCCTGGCAATTCATTACACAAATCTAATGTGCGCCCTTGCGAAATAAAAAAAGATTTCGTCGGTAGACCTGAAAATCTGTTCAGTACAAAAGGAAATACTGAAGCTCTTTGCCGGTATTTAATACTAAACCATCTTGCTCACCTCCTCCGAGAGCCCTTGTCTAACACAGCTATACAACAACTGCACAGAAGTATTTCTCTTAAAGCAAGTGTAATTCTTTAATTCTTTAGCATTGACCTATTCCATGTGCTATGAAAACATTAGGCACAGATCACAATTTACGTTTTCTCTAAAAAAAAATACAGTATGTGCAAGCTAGGTTCACACAACGGATTGAGAGCTACAACAGTAAGCTAGTTAGACTTCCCAACGACAGGGGTTAGTTAGTTTTAATTTTCTAAGCAGTGATGCCCACTGCTGTGTGCGATTATCGTATCTGCATGAGGATTATCTGTGCAGCCAATAAAGGAAAAGCTTTAGTACACCCTAAAGGACACTACAGCGATACTGTGTGCTAATTTAACAGGATCAAGAGAATGAAAGACTGAAGAAGGCGTCGTACATGGGCAGCTGCAGTAACTCAGCTGGCCACGAAGGGCTACTGCTTCCTGCAGGAAGAATGGTCTGAAACTCACGTTTACCTCGTAGGTGCCCTCAAACTAAACCACTCGGACGTGATGGAATCTAGGGATGCACAGCTTGGGGCGGGGGGGGAATGGGGAAAGGAGGGAGAAAGCTTCCACGAAAGTTGTGTCAAAATGTGCCATTTTATCCAAAAGCATCATGCCCAGCTGTAGGTTTTATGTCCAGCGGATTGTTTGTACAACTGAAAATTGTACAAGATGTGAGCCGAGATAGAGCTGATTATTAATCTGCAATATCTACTATAGTCCTCAGGTATATAATTTACAGATAGCCACTTACTGCGTTGTTGGTTGTTTCCTCTTAAATATATTTAAATTCTGAAGGCTACAGTATATTCTGACACAAAGATAATAAGACAACTTCTCTACAAGGGGGCAAATATAAGGTAGCAACTAATTTATTTTATGAGGAGCCTCCTCTGATGTGGTAGTTACATCATGCCCTTTGGAAGATTTTTAGTTCTGACTTTCTTCATTGTCTCTGTCGCATACAAGAGCTATATTCAAGTTCAGTGACTCCTTGTACAGCAGCCTTTTCCTTTTCCGCAATCATTTTTAAACTTGTTTTAACATCGTAACAAGCTATTCAAGTAAACATTTCTCTTCTGGCAAGTGTCCAGACACAGCATGAATTACCAAAATTCCACGTTCGATCACATACATCAGTGTTCTTTAAATGGAGCAGGAATTAGCCCGTTTTCTTGGTTTAGGGTCCCGCACATCCCTGTCTTTTAAACACATACAAGATGAACATATTGTCTCTGATAGTCTCCGCAGTCCCAGCCTGAAAACGCTGTTGGAGAGGCTATAGATCACACAGTTGCAGAAACTATTGCTTATAGCAAGCCATGTCGTTAAGAAGGAGAGGGCTGGGTTTTCCAACACCCTAGAGCTCTCCAGCAGAAAGTATATGATATAGGGGAGCCACAGCACGTAGAACACACTGGTTATCCGAAACAAAACCATGGCATAGCGGCGATCAGGACTGTGCCCAGTCTCCCCAGCAGCATCCACTTCGTGGCTAGGAAATCGAGCTCGCCGATCATTTATCTCTTTGGTGTGCTGCCGGCAAATTTTAAAGATGTGGAAATACGTGAAACATATGACAAAGGCAGCAGGAGCGTATAATAAGCACACGATAAAGCCAGTGAAATAGGCATTAGTTAGCCAGGAGGTAGCACACCATTCAAAAATATCTCCATGGTAACCAGGTTTTCCCCAACCAAAAAAGGAAGGCAAGAAGATCAGACAAGAATATATCCAGATTAAAATGATGCAGATTCTCAAGCGACAAGGTGTGACCAGTTGATTATAGGAGAGAGGCTTTGTTATAGCGAGATAGCGATCCACACTGATGCAAGCAAGACATGCCATAGATACACTTTTGAGCACAGAGATGATATATCCAAAAACTTGACAAGTCAAGGACTCGTGGACACCTGTCGAGTAGTGGAGCAGTGACAAAGTAGGAACCAAGCAGCTAACTCCAACAAAAAGATCAGCATAGGCCATGGTCTGAATAAAATAGCTGGTGGTATAATGATGCAGGAGTGGAGCGCAGTGAAAAACAAATATCACAGTTAAGTTGCCCGCAATAATTAAAAACGTTAGCAAGACAATAACAACTGTCTCAAGGATACAGATGTCAACTGCATTGTAGTGACCAAATCCAAGAGGGCAGGAGAGATGCTCAGATATGTTCATAACACTACTGTTCATTTTCAGAGTCCTCCATTCAATCCATCGGGACTGGTTCATGTTTTGTGATTAGGGAACACTGCAATCTGAGCCTTAGCGAGCAGATGACCTGCTTAACAGCAGCTAAACTCTGCTTCAGCTTCTCACGAGCTCTCTTTGTAGACACTGCCAGTGCTTACATTTGAGAGGATTACAGTCCCATAGCTGTTGATGCCTCCTCAGCATCAGTGCATCACCTCTGGCACACCTTAGCTTTAAGGAAAGAAAGAAAGAAAGAAAGAAAAAAAAAAAAAAGAAAAAAAAAAGCCAGAAAGAGAAAGGCCACTGATCAGCTCCTCCAGTGCTCTTGATCAATCTTTACCAAACACAAGGCACTTCTAAACCAAATAGGTACCGTGAAATACGGAAATAAAAACTGACCAAAAAGAGAGACACATTCATTTCCCAGGGAAGGAGGGAGGGAATCTCTGACTGCTTGTTTTCCTGAGAGAGTCATTTACTTTGGAATACAACAGGGCAAGGGGGAGGAAGGGAAGGAGGAACCTCAGTATAGCTCCGGTTTCCTGAAACCAGCAGTTACTGGAGATAATATTTTTAACGCCTCAATTTAAATCACAGACAGACTGGAGAGTAAAGGAAAAAAGTTCATCATCTAATGTTGTCTTTCCTGGCTCCGCTCAGGAGACCGTACTCCATCTTATCCGTGCTATTCGTTGGAAAGGTAAGGAAAACATTTTTGTCAAGGTTAATTCCAATAGACTCACCACTGTTTGGGTATGAATAATGTATTTTATTAGGAGGGAGACAGGTGGGGAACAAGGCAGATTTGTCCTCTGACTCCCAAGAAAGAAAACATACATCTCACATACAATGAGAAAGATTGTGTCTATTCATTTTAAAAATGAAAATAATTTAAGAATATAATTTGGAGAGTTGTGTCAATATCCACAATTCCTTTAAACAGTTATAGTCCATTACAATTATTAATGCCAGAAGCATAATTCAAGGTCCCCACAGACAAAATAAATCCTTTTGAATTTAATTTCAGCAATGGTAATTTAAAATAATCATCTTTGGAAACTGCCGTAACTGCTACAGCGGATCAGTACCCAGGAGTTCATAGGTATATCCATGATATTGCTCACCTCTGTAGCAACACCTGAATCATTTCACAAACCCCCATACAACGAGAACAGAAACTTCCATCTGCATTCTGCTGTGAAGCTAATGAAATGCTGATTTGACTAGAAAAGCTGCCATTGTTTACTACTCTATTATTCTGTTATTCAGCTTCAATCTTCTACGTCGTTTCAGGGTTTCTGTATTTATTAGATGACCACATAGCAAATAGTTGCTTTAGAAAAATGTTCTTCTAATTTCAGGACATTACCTTGTTCATTTTATTCGCAGTTATGGACAGAGCAAGCATTAAGAGAAAGCATCTTCTGTGTTCAGTTTCAAGTAAATGCTCGATTAGCTCAGGAATCATTAGGCAGGTAATTAATTGTATACGATCTTGATTTCCAAAAGGCCCCTAATGCATTAAAACCATCTTTAATCCTAAAGTTCCCAAGACTAGAACATCGGCAGTGGGAATTAACGCATCCACACAAAATGATTTCCAAGGTCATTCAGATATTACGCTGGCATTTTCTTTAAGTCTCTTAAAAAGTACCAGAATCTCTCTGATGTTTTTGATAGTCCTTGCTGTGTCTTCATTTCAGATACTAGACAAGAAAAACATTCAATGCTGTTGCAGCAGTTTGAGAGAAAGCGTTCTTTTTGGAGTTAATCTCCTGTCGTGCATCGCCACGCTGAACAGAAAGTCCTTCTCATTTTATAACATCCCAGTACACTGCCGGCTATTCATCCCCTTCATCTATAAGCAACAGAGCACATACAAAATTACCACTTTCTGCAATTCTCCGTTAAAGCAATAGAGCAATCTTTCTCACCTACACGCATCCTTCTCAGCCGCTAGGATGAACTGCTTGACAGGGGACTCCTAGTTACTGTGGTGCGGCTGGAGCTGCTGTCGCTATTTCTCCCCTTCCCCCTTGAAATGATTGCTTGCACCTGAGCCCGCTCCTCCT